TCACGTTCACAGGTACTTTGGATTAAGACTTGAACACATAGAGCTTCAGTTTAATTGTAATAAAATATCAACAGGCTTTTTGGTGGAACATGATAATTCCCTCTTGCTGACTAAGAGGGGCCACACTGCTTTGTTGTGCCTCTAAGAACACAATTCACAGAGAACAAGATGTGAATTGTGCCGTCTGGTGTTAAACAAAGCAAAGACCCTACCAAACACCAGCTCTTCTTTTTTTCCCTATAAGACAACTTTAACTTAATTCTGACATGGGCCTGACCTCCCTAATTATGGCCTGGGTGGAGATGTTCTCAAGGTGGGCCTCAAAGTATGAAGAATTGCCCAACAACTCCCTGCCCGTGTAGGTTGGGGATTATCGATTAGAATAGCCTAGATCAGTAGTCCTCAAACCTTAATGTATGTAAGAATCACCTACAGAGCTTGTTAAAAATCTCCATTTTCAAAACTCACCCCCAAAGATTCTGATTCAGCAGGCCTGGGGCCCAGGAATCTGCATCTTAACAAACATCAAGTGGTTTTGATGCTTGTGGTCAGTAGAATCTCTCTTAGAACACAAAGCCCTTGTCCTTTCAGGGAAAAAAAAAAAAAAAGAACCCATTGCCGTTGAGTCTATTCCGACTCATAGCAACCCTACAGGGGTGGGGAAAGGAAAGAAATACTTTTCATTCTTTTATGAAATGCCTAACAATAACAATAGCAGATAAATTAGATTCTCAGTCTGACATACTGGATGTGACTATGAGCAGTCTTTGAATAAGCACTCACTCATACAAAAGAAAAGAAGAGCAAAAACAATGGTTCCTTTCAAAGTAGGGGCTTTGGAGAATTTTAGAATTTACGACTCATTTTGTTCTCAGTTTAAAACAATGCTTTGAATATAAAACAATGCTCCTGGAGGCAATTCTCAAAGAGACATTTCCGATATTTATTCCTTAAACTGAGTAAACTTTAAACAAGATGGCTGTTTCATTGGATACGACATAACGTTTGAGTAATTTAGTTCTAGGATATTAAACCAATAAAACATTTCCCAATATCCCCCGAAAGAGTATAGCTCTCAATTGTAAGCTCAGTTTTTAATGGCCTTCATCTACTGAGATTCCCTGGAATTAAAATATTTGCCACAATGTTCCCAAATGCATACAGCATTTATCCCAATCATAGTTATTTATGTCTGGGTTTGTGAATTCACTGGAGCCAGGGCACAGTTGGAAGCCTCATCTATAATAACAAAATCCAATTTTAGATACTCAAGGGATGGAGCTCATCAGTGGTTTCTGTTTCGAATGTTGTTATTATATAAGGAGAGTTTATTGGAAGCTCCATCACCAGGAAATTGCTAGCATCATTTCAGGCCCAGTTATAAGAGCCCAGTTGTAAGACCCTGGAATCTATCCTTTTGAATTAAGATCAACAAGCATCATCTTTCTTATTTTATGGGTGAAAGTGGGTAAGTGGGGTGGGCCAAGGTAGAGTGAAGAAGGATGATATTGATGATACAAATCAGTCAAATTAGATGGAGGAAGGGGAGCGATACCAGCACTTACAAGGAACTTGTGTCTCAATTTTTCCTTATACATTAAACCATCAGTTTTCAGGCTTCAGTGTGCATATGAATCACCTGGGGAGGGTGTGAAAGGTAGACTCCCAGGACCACCTGTCAGATACTTGGATTCAGCAGGTCTGTGGCAGAGCCCTGGAAGCCGCGTTTTAACACCGACCTCAAGTCAACCATGATGCAAGTGACCATCAGAGACACTCTGAGAAACACGAGAAACATCACATCGGCAATAATGAGCTTACACTTCTAAAGTGAATGGAGCAGATGGGGCATGAGGGGCAAATGGTGGTACTGGAGCTGACCAGGGGTCTGGCTCTCCCTCTCAGCATGCCCAGTGCTCTCCTTCTAGCTCAGCGCTTCTCCATCCACTTCGCTCAAATCCAGACACCACATAGGGTGTCAGGGCGAATGCCGCCCTGGCTGTTTTGATTTTCATATATTTTTGAGGTGATAAAATTTCTTTCTTTGTTACTAAAGATGTCTTGTTTCTCTACCTCTGGAGGATGTCAAAAAGTTCATTAAGGAGCTTGATCAAGTGTGTGGGAAAATGAATGACTGAAGGGTGGAAACAGGTGGGAGGGATGAACAAGAACACACGTTCTCAGATTACTAATATGTAAATCACCAAGCCTCAAGCTGAGAAAATACCTTCCATTCCCATCAATAACTTCAGAGAAACGCAAATTCCATTCATTGATTTTCCTGTTGGTCATTTATGTAGACTCTGAACATTGCCTAGGTAAAACAAACAAAACGCCCCCTCTGCAAGATTTTAAAATAATTCATAGATCACAGAGGCCATCTCAGAGAATATTGCTTAATCCTGGTTACTCACTAAATTACTTGCCTAAGGTAACTCAACCTGGCAGACAACTCTAGAGCTATTTTTTTTAGACCTGGGTACTCATGACCCATTAATGGGTCATGAAATGTATACACTGGGTCTTGACCATCATTTCTGGAAAAGTGAAATCGATTAAACAGAAATATCAGAGCATATTACACATAGTAGTTCCAAGTATTATTTCATGAAAATTGTGTATACATACACATGTATATGGGATCACCACGTAAAGTATATATTGTAGGTCACAGTCGCCAAAGTTGGGAAAACACTGCTCTCCTCCACTATGTTGCCTTAGAAAAGAGATTTGAAAGAGGGACCAGTCGAGCTGGGTCTCCAAGATCTATTACAATTATATCGAGGCCAGAGAATTTCACATGCTCCACCAGATTTTTAAATCAGTGTTATCCTCAGTATTTCCCAAGTTAAAAAAAATAAAAACCGGTGATAGTCTGAGAATGAGAGAATTCTTACTTGGGAAGTAAGTACTATAACTGAGCCAATTCATTCTGCAGGATTTTGAACTGCAGTTGAAATGAATAAGCAGAAAGAATGAACAATAAAGAGTTCAATTTATCAATTTACAATTAGAAAGAGAGAAGAGAAGGAAAGGAAGCACCTGGAGGTCCAACAGTGGGGAATGATTAGGTAAACTATGCTAGGACCCTCTGTGAGTCACCTAAAGGTTACCTCCATCCATTGATCCCGAGGTGACCAGAAGAACTTTCTTAACCCTCATCTAGAATATGGACCCCAAGGATGGCAGGATAGCAGAGATCCAGAGTATTCTTAAAAGGTGTAACTCATGATGGGAAGTTATATTAATGACAAAGAAACAAGTTTCATTATATCGAGGAACTTTGAGGAAGTCACAAAATCCACGATTTAAAAATATATTTCCTATTATACACACACCTACTTTCTAGACTAAAACCTAAAGCCCCATGGGCCAGTTGTTTTGCTTTCTATATGTTGTAGTTATGTCAAAATGTTCAGTCATCTCTAATGGACCACAACTACCACCGCCTCCACCAGACTGAGTCTAGCACAACTAGATGGTGCCCGGCCACCACCACCAACTGCTCTGACAGGGATCACGATAGAGGGCCCCAGACAGAGCTGGAGAAAAATGTAGAGCAAAATTCTAACTCACAGAAAAAGACCAGACTTACTGGTGTGACACAGACTGGAGAAACCCGGAGAGTTTGGCCCCTGGGCACCCTTTTAACTCAGTGCTGAAGTCACTCCTGAGGTTCGCCCTTCAGCCCAAAGATTAGACAAGCCCGTAAAACAATAATACATGTAGTTCAACCATGTATACGAGACTAAATGGGCACACCAGCCTAAGGGCAAGGACAAGAAGGCAGGAGGGGACAGGGAAGCTGGACCAATGGAAGTGGGCAACCCAAGGTTGTGAAGGGGAGAGTGTTGACATGTCACCGGGTTGGCAACCAAAGTCACAAAACAATGTGTGCATTAATTGTTTAATGTGAAACGAATTTGCTCTATAAACCTTCATCTAAAGCACAATAAAAAAAGAAAAAGAAAAAACGTTCGGTCATCTTGGGAAGTCTTCTAGCAGAAAGGAGGTATTATGGATTGAATTGTGGAACCAAAAAATATGGGTTGTAAATCCTACTATACCTGGGGTTATAATCTCATTTGGGAATAGGGTTTCTCTGTTATGTTAAGGAGGCAGTATTAGTGTAGGAAAAAAACCAAACCCATTGCCATGGAGTCCATTCTGACTCACAGTGGTCCTATAGGACAGAGTAGAACTGCCCCCCTAGGGTTTCCAAGGAGCTGCTGGTGGATTCCAACTGCCAACTTTTTGATTAGCAGCTAAGCTCTTAACCACTGTGCCACCAGGGCTCCATTAAGGTGGAGTGTATCTTAAATGAGTCTCTTTTGAAATATAAAAGAGCAGATTAAGCAACCAGCAGAGCAGAGCAGAGATGAGGGGGGTAGAGATAGGTGTAACACCACATGAAGCTCTCCAAGGAACTGAGAAACAGCAGCTGAGCAGAGACAAGGACTTTCCCCAGAGCCAACAGAGAAAGCCTTCTCCTAGAGCCCTGGATTCGGACTTCTAGAGCCTCCTAACTGGGAGAAAATAAATTTCTGTTCCTTAAAGCCACCCACTTGTGGTATTTGTTATAGAAAAACCAAAAAAAAAAAAAATCCCGAAAATCCACTGCTGTGGAGTTGATTTCGACTCATAGCTACCCAATAGGACGGAGTGGAACCGCCCCACAGGATTTCCAAGGCTGTAATCTTTGCTCAAGCAGACTGCCACATCTTCCTTCCACGGTGTGATTGGTGGGTGTGAACTCCCAACTTTCATTAGCAGCCGAGTCTTAACCACTGCGCCACCAGGGCTCCTTCTGTTATAGCAGCTCTAGATAACTAAGGAGGGGAGCATGCTGATTAATCCTGCCTAGCTTTCCTTGCCAAAGCCCTCATTTACAGGAAATGGGCTGGTAGGTTCACTTTCGGTTTGATTTTTGTATATATTTACTCCCAGGATTCTGAGTCCGTTAGTTTCCCAGAGGGAAACTTCCAGCCACAAAGAAAGGAAGTCGGACTTTCCAGCTCGCATTTTAATGTCTGGTCGGCACTGTCGGGCAAAGGTGGGGCGGGACCTGACTCCGCTCGTCGCCCGGTGGCCATATTAGCGTGCGGCGGCCCCACAGGTTGCCCGCGGGGTCGGTCTGGCACAGCAACCGGCGGCATCCTGCGTCTCCGCGCCGCGCAGGTAGGAGCGTTCTTCCCGTGCGCCTCTCAGTGCCCGCGTCTCGCCCGCTCGCGTGGCGCTTTAAACATGCAGGGAGGGTCTATATAGACCTTTGCTTTGGAACCGGGAGAGGGGAAGGGGAAGCGCTATGGTTTAGGGGACAGTGGAGCCGATTGCCAGTTGGGGTGAATAAGAACAAGCAGTACATTTGCTTTTTTGCTAGGCGGGATTCAGTTTTGCTTAATGGCTGTCTTGTAAGTGTATGTTTCTGCTTGTTCGTGAATATGGTCCTTAGGTAGCCAGGTCTAGAGAGAAGGCAGGACGCCTGGTCCTCGTCCATCCTCAGCTGCTTACTAGGAGTACAACACTGCGTAAATCATCAGCTCTGCCTTCCCTTAGCAATGCCATCCCTTTACATATATCTGTACATATATGTGCTTTTGCTTTGGTAGGATAGATTTCTAGGAGAGGGAGTGCAAGGTCATATACATTTAAAATTGAGATATTACCAAATTTGCCATTCACAAAGGTGGTTCAACTTCACATCCCCACCATTAGTGACTGAGCACTCCCATTTGTTCATATCCTCACCAACACTAAATATTAAGAATCTTTATAATTTTGGTCAAGCTAATAAGTGAAAAATGATGTCTCAGGTCTTACATTTATGCTTTTTTATTGGTGAGATTGAGCATCCTTTCTTATTTTTATGTATCATTTGTATTTCTTATTCTCTGAACTGTATGATAGTATCTTTTACTCCTTTTTCTGTTGGGCTGTGTGTGGTTTTATTGATTTTTAAGAGCTATTTATATATTAGAAGCATGGCTCTTGTGCCTTAATATATGCATAGCATTGATTGATTGATCATTTGTTTTTTTGTATGTATACAGAGTTTGGAGAGATACTTAAGGGGGAAAACTGGACTCTCTTTTCAAAGTTTGTAAAGATACATATAGCATAACAGAGAGAAAATATGTCAATAAATGAATAGATTGGTTGGAATATAGTAATACAAATCTTCTTTATTTACTCCCCTACTTGAATATAAGTTCCAAGAGGACAGTGACTTTGCTTTCCTGTTCACTGTGGTATCCTCAGCACCTAATATAGTGTCTAGCACAGAGGGAGTGCTCAATGGATGGTTGCTGAATGAAACAGTAGAATTGCAAGCAGAATGACAAACTGAAAGGAATCTAGGCAGATACCTCTGGAAAGAGTAGTATGAATTGGTCACATCCAACTGTTTCTTCTTCCCACTCTTCCTGGGGGAAGAAGAGTCCATTTATGGAGGGAGTAGGATTTATGATTTATGAGAGTGAGGAGGAGAAGAGGATACTTTGAAGCATGGGCATTTGGGGAGAATTGGTGAGGTTGGGATAGGGAAGAGAAAGGCTTGAACAGTGGAAGGAGGGCAGGATAGAAGTAGCTGGCTGCTAGGGGAAAATGGACTGAAAAGTGGGAGAGTGCGAGTCAGATTCTCCTTGCTTTGAAATTTTGCAAAGGGCAGGATTGGATTTCTTGATGGTTACATTGCAGAAAAAAATACATGGAATACTTGAAAGAATTTTGGTGCAATATCTCCTTGGCTTGTTTTGAGTGTTCGTTCCAGTTTTTTGTTGTGTTTTTCAGGGCTTGTAAATAAATTTTACAATTCTTTTCTTGTCATAGTAACTTTTTTTCTCCACTTGGCTTTATATAGCTCTGGGATATTAAATGAAGATACTAAACTTCCAAATTCCCTGCTGCATTTCCAAGTTTACAAATCAGTCATTAGCCAGTTATCAGAAGGCCATTCAAGCTGCCAAGTCCCATGCTGTCTTGGTGTTGAATTATTGAGTGAACCAGTGTTCTTTTTCTGTTTCTCATAATTAGGTCATTACAGAAAAATGAGGATATTTTATGTCTTTACATTCATGACCTACCATCATTTGCTGCATGGTAAGATACCGTTAGGTTCTATGTTTTAAATATTTTAATCATGAGTTAAAAACTAAAATAATAATCAAAATGGATGTAATATTTTTATAGAGAGAATATTTTATCTTCTTTATTTCATAAAGAAGTCATTCATGTCATTGTACAAAGAGAGAGAGAATATAGACAAACTGAAAGAAATAAAATTAACCCATTATCCACTTCCCAGGGATAACTATTAAGACTATTTGGGAAAATGGCCTTTATGTGTACTGTTTGTTTTAAACAAGGATCATCCTATCTGTGTCAAACATGCCCTGTTCTTCACAATGAGTAGATTCTAAGAGAGAATTTAAGTGTTCAAGGAAAGTGTCAGGATCACATAGTAGTCGCTTCAGCCCGAGGCCCTCCCTACATCTCCATACCCATGTATGTCTGGCCAGAGAACTGATCAAGAGGTTAGGGAAGCAAGAGGAGAGGACTATTGGAATCCACCACTCAGACTAGATACAAGGCAAATTCTGAGATGTCTGCATGAAGAAAACTCTACCTGGTTATAAATACCCCGCCACCATTTAATATTTCTCCAGTAATGTATAGGAGCCCTGGTGGCAAAGTGGTTAAGAGCTCGGGCTGCTAACCAAAAGGTCGGCAGTTCGAATCCACCAGCAGCTCCTTGGAAACCCTATGGGGCAGTTCTACTCTGTCGTATAAGGTCGCTGTTAGTCGGAATGGACTGGGCGGCACACAACAACAGTAATGTATGTTTATGAATTATGGGACAGCAGCTGGTTTAACCGGTTCTATTATTCTAACTCAGGGATGAGATACAGTCCCAAAACATGCTTCAAAGCCACTGGATAAAAAATATATTTTAAGGGAAACCCTGGTGGCATAGTGGTTAAGAGCCATGGCTGCTAACCAAAAAAGGTTGGCAGTTCAAATCCACCAGGCGCCCCTTGGAAACTCTATGGGGCAGTTCTGCTCTATCCTACAGGGTCACTATGAGTCGGAATTGACTTGATGGCAACAGGTTTTTAAGTCCTTAAACATAATTATTGCATAACTGACTAGATAAAGCGGTTCTAAGTCCTGCACCCATTTTGCAAATTTTTTGAAGACTGTTCTGTCTTATGAAGATTGGTTGCTTTCTTTTCAGCATTTACCATCAGTGTGTCCAAGGACCTACATGTGGCAGAGTATGGCAAGAATGTGACAATGGCATGCACATTCCCAGTAGGAAAGCAATTAAATCTGACTGTGTTAGTTGTCTACTGGGAAAAGGAGGATAAAAAAATTATTCAGTTTGTGGATGGGGAGGAAGACCTGAAGGTGCAGCACAGGAGCTACAGCCAGAGGGCCCAGCTGCTGAAGGACCAGCTCTTCCTGGGAAAGGCCGTGCTTCAGATCAGAGATTTGAAATTGCGGGATGCAGGGGTTTACCGCTGCCTGATCAGCTATGGTGGTGCTGACTACAAGCGGATTACTTTGAAAGTCAATGGTAAGAATTATTATAGATAAAAGGAACTGACCTTCATTAAAAACATATTCCATGTACCGAGAACTTTTTGTTCTTGGAAGTGCAGCCTGGCTTTCTGGCAGAACAGCAGGAGTCTGTTCATTCATTCATTCACACACACATCCAGTTAGCATTTCTTGAACACCTCCTATTTGACAGTCACTGGAACAGAGCCCTGGTGGTGCAGTGGTTAAGTGCTTGGCTGCTAACCAAAAGGTCAGTGGTTTGAACTAACCAGCTGCTCAGCAGGAGAAAGATGTGGTAGTCTGCCTCTGTAAAGATTTACAGCCTTAGAAAGCCTATGGAGCAGTTCTACTCTGCCCTATAGGGTCACTATGAGTCAGAATCGACTTGTCAGCAGTGGGTTTGATTTGGTTTGGAACAGTTAAGCGCTCAGCTGCTAACCAAAAGTTTGGTAGTTCAGGTCCACCCAGAGGTGCCTCAGAAGAAAGGCCTGGTGATCTACTTCCAAAAAATCAGTTATTGAAAATCCCTATGGAGCACAGTTCTGCTCTGACACACATGGGGTTGCCATGAAGTGGAATTGACTCAGTGGCAACTGGAACATGGATATCCAGAGCTAAGCATAACAGAGCCATGTTCCATAGTATATTCAGTTTTCGTAAAAATAAATTCCTAGTTTATTATCATGAACGTAATATGTGTACTTGCAAATCATTCAGCTATCATACTGATTTGTTGTTGTGTACCATTAAGTTGATGCCAGCTCATAGTGACCCTATAGGACAGACTGACTGGAACTACTCCACGCAATTTCCTAGGCTGTAATCTTTATGGAGAGCCATGGTTTACGGAGTGTAGTGGTTAAGAGCTCTGCTGCTAACCAAAAGTTCAGCAGTTCGAATCCACCAGCCGCTCCTTGGAATTCTTATGGAGCAGTTCTACAGCGTCGCTATGAGTTGGAATCAACTCTGTGCCAACGGGTTTGGTTTTGGTTTGGTTAGTCTTTACGGAAGCAGATCTCCAGGTCTTTTCTCCCAAGGAGCAGCTGGTGGGTTCAAACCACTGACCTTTTGGTTAGCAGCCGAGTATTTAACTACTGCTCTACCAGGGCTCCTTTCAGATATCATAGAAAGGAATAAATGAAATGCAGACATATTCCTCCTCCCTTCACCGCCATCTTCCATGGCACCCAAAAAGAGTAACCACTATTTGTGTGTCCTTCCAGAAATTTTTTTATTCAACTGCTATTCTTTATTTTATTAAGTCTGCCAGCACTTTACTTCCTTTGAACCTGTCTATGTCAGAACCAAATAAGTATATTGAGAACAAGCCCGATTGTGAGATTCACATTAAAAAAAAACTTAGAAGTTAATCTGCAAAGGCAAAAATAATTATACCAAGTATAGAGGAACTCATTCTTCTTCAGAGAGGATATAAGCTATGCTCACTTGGCATACAGTCATCTTGAAAATCTACACCACTGTTATCTTGGAGTGTTGAAAAAGAACTGTAAGTGTCAGTTCCTGGGAACTGACCCGCAAATATGTCATCAGGTCACTTGGGTTCAAAGTTTTGGGTTGCCACTAGCCAAGTAAAGGAAAACACCTTAGCTTACTACCTCTGCTTTCACTGATAAAATTCATGGAATTGAGAGCTGCAAGGAGCCCAGGCATGAGCATCTAAGCCAACTTCCCACCAAGAACAGAAATCCCCTGTGCAGCATCCCCAAAGAATACTCAGTCATCTTCTGCTTACAGACCACCCCTCCCTACCCCACCATTGGGACCCCTCTTCTGCAGTCTGGTAAAATTACTTTCTGATATTGAGCTGAAATCTACCTTCACTCACTCTAGTTTTGAGATTATCTGCCTGTTTCTTTCACTTACATGGTGACCTTTTCATATTTAACTGTAATGAAATCATCTCCTTGTGGTTTTTCCATTCGTAGGCTAATTACCATCAATCTGAAGGTCAATAAGAGAAGCAGAAAAAGCTTACGGTTATAATATAGGGACCATTGATAATTATAAACTCGAAAACAAAATAGAGATTAAGGGAAGTGCATCCATTTTATGGCACATTACTGGGTCTCTGATTCTGGCTCAAGTAATACTCCCATTGCCAACAATATGTCACTTGTGAAATAGATTTAATTTTTATTATTTTTATGGTATTTTCCAGAACAGTGATGTTTATGAAAGAAAGCTTGGGATGGAAGGGGGTTTATATTTTCAATTTTTCCTTCAGCCCATCAGCAAAAACCAAACACCTACTGTATTCCAAGGCATTAAAGAAATTATCAAGCCTTAGCCCACTGAAGGAGCCCTGGTGGCAGTGGCTAAGAGCTCGGCTGCTAACCAAACGATCAGCAGTTCAGATCCACCAGCCTCTCCTTGGAAACACTACGGGGCAATTCTACTCTGTTGTATAGGGTCGCTATGTATTCAACGGCACCTGCTAAAGAGACATATAATTACCCAGTGTTGCGGAATCTGGGGAGGAGAGGAAGAACATAAGCCTGGTAGTCAGGAAGAAAGAAATAGAGTGTAAGTTTCTCTTTCCAGAAAAGAGTATCTCTCATCACCCCGCAGGGAGTATACAGCTATCCCTGCAGTAGGAAAGGGTGTTCTTCCAGCTCATTACCAGTTGCCGTCAAGCCGTTTCTGACTCACGGCAACCCATCCGTGCCAGAGTAGAACTGTGCTCCATAGGGTTTTCAGTGGCTGATTTTTTGGAAGTAGATTTTTCTTCCAAGGCACCTCTGGGTGAACTCGAACCTCCAACCTTTCGGTTGCAGCTAAGCGTGTTAACCATTTACACCACCCAGGGACTCTACCAGGTCATTGTTGTTATTAGGTGCCGTTGAATCAATTCAGACTCCTAGTGACCCTGTAGGACAGAGTAGAACTGCCCCATAGGGTTTCCTAGGTTGTAATCTTTACAGGAGCAGGTCACCAGTCTTTTCTCCCATGGAGCAGCTGATGGGTTCAAGCTGCTGACCTTTCGGTTAGCAGCCGAGCACTTAACTGTTGTGACACCAGGGCTCCTACCAGGTTGTGTAATGTCCCTTGTGAGTCTGCAGTTTGTTATGGTTTGACGTGGTAGGAAGCCTTCTGGCACTGTGATTACTCTAAGAAGGGGCCCCTGGCGGGGGCAAAGCAGATAGATGACCAACCAGATTTGAAGATCTGATTTGTTTGACCTTTCCATTTTTATAGTATAGATGATTAAATTGGCGTTCTCTTCCTGATCCATCTTGTTGTCATTCACATGTGGTGGTCTTGGGGGTTGAGTTGAGCTGACAGCTGCAAGCTTGACCTCCTGCAGGGAGAGATCTCCAGGATCCCCAGGAACACTGTCTCAGTGCAGTTGAAGCTGGGTGGCTCGCTGGCCAAGGACCAGCTTTACCACTCAAGGAGCTCCTGAGTCACCCTCATATGCAAATGATTTCACAGTAACTCTTTGGGACTTCTCTTCCCATCACTGGAAATGTGTGATAACACAACTGCCCCCACGGGAGTTTACTCACCCTGGGATTTTAAAGGTGAAGCATTTCAAAACTGAAAGGGCTTAGTTTTGGGTTAACTGAACTGCGATCATCACTTAGGGTGTTATTGAACCTTCTTGGTTGTTCATTTAAATACCAGAGTCTCAGGTATTTTAATTGAGAATGTTGTTTTTCCTTGATCACTGAACCTAACAGCAGGTAAGATGAAACGCCTGTTTTTACTTTCAGGACCTTACATGGGATCAGGCATTGGAAAGAACCAAGTGTTGCATAGTTATCCCAATAAAGCTGATTTGCTCATATGGACCAAAGATTAACTGCTGTCATTCCAAACCCCTCGTCTCTTCTCCAAATTTGCCAGCCCTGTTTAAGTTTATAGCATTTATCACCATCTAATATACAATATGATATAGATGATATAACATATCATAAAACCATACATTTATTTTGTTTGTTGTCTGTCTCTTCCTGCTAGAATACAGACTCCACAAGGGCAAGGATTTCCATTGGTTTTGTTCATTGCAGTATACTCGGGGCCTGGCATAGAGTAATGCAGTAGTAGTATTTCTTGAATGAATGAAAATATTTCTGTAAACAAGATTAGCCTAAAATTTTTGAAACTTGAGCAGGTTTGGATATGATGTTATATCTGTATGAAAATTCATTTCTTCAAGGAAATGTCAACACCTTCTGAAGAGCGCCACCAGAGAACACTCAAGGGGTGGCGGTGAGAGGAGGGGGAGGAGGAGCTGTAGTACTCATTGCAGCAGCAGCAACCACAGCAGCAGTAGCAGTAGTAGCAGCAGCAGTAGTAGCAGCAGCAGCAGCAGCAGCAGCAGTAGCAGCAGCAGTAGTAGCAGTAGCAGTAGTAGCAGCAGCAGCAGCAGTAGCAGTAGCAGTAGTAGCAGCAGCAGTAGTAGCAGCAGCAGTAGTAGCAGCAGCAGTAGTAGCAGTAGCAGCAGCAGCAGTAGTAGCAGCAGCAGTAGCAGCAGCAGCAGTAGCAGCAGCAGCAGCAGTAGCAGCAGCAGCAGTAGCAGTAGCAGCAGCAGCAGTAGCAGCAGCAGTAGTAGCAGCAGCAGTAGCAGC